AAAACCATGAAATTTATGGGTATTCCATTATAGTGGATTTTTCATTTCACTTTTTAGAAGGGGTATAGTGATGCAAACTGGATCTCTGATTCAGATGAGCAAAATCCACCAGTCGTTATGTATTCACCCTTGGTGGTGGTGCAATATCGTGAAAAATCTGCTAAACAGACGATCATGCTAGATCTACTATGGAATCCGAGTTTGTAGCTCTGGAGTTAGCTGGTTCTGAGGCTGAGTGGCTAAGAAACTTCTTAGCTAATATTCATTTAATTAAGGACGTATCGCCTCCTATGTCTATGCATTGTGATTGTCAAGCGGCAATAGCTATTGCAAAGAATAAATCTTATAATTGTAAAAGTAGACAAATGAAATTGAGACATGATGTCATAAAGCAGCTGCTGAGAGATGGAATAATTTCCATTGATTATGTGAAGTTAGAAATTAATTTGGCCGACCCTCTAACTAAACCAGTAGGAAGAAAATTAATTCTTCAAACCTCAAAAGAGATGGGGTTAAGGCCGACATGTTGTCAATAGAGATGGTACCCAACCTATGTGATTGGAGATCCCATGAAGTAGGTTCATATGGGTAATAACAAGTCGATATTGGCACTGATGCACTAAAAGAGAGTGCTTGACTGCTACTAATTGAGAGGATGAGTCATAACTCTTAATGAAATTCATAGTCCTTATGGAAGGTGTATTTAAAAGCAGTATACATTTGATGAATTCACATGTATGAGAGTGGAGTGGGCCGATACACTTGATGAATTCACCTGTATGAGAGTGGAGTGGGCTGATCCTATGAGATTTTGGCCTAGTCTCTAGAGCTCTCATGAATAACCAGGCACGCGCATAGCCTATTGGGCGCAAAATCGCGTTGAACAACAAAATTACCGGGGGTCAGAATGTGACTGATAAAATCTCTGACTTACAATAGGAATTATTGGTTCATAGAAATATTATATTTCACCAGTAATTCTGTGAGTTAAGTTTTATTGGTCTAAATTTGATTCATAGTCCTGAAGACACTAAACCTATTACGTTTAGACCATACAAATCCAGCAAGTCTTACTCTTTCCTACTCCGTATTCCTAAACATAAAAAAAAAAGTCTTTTGATGTGGGGTTTGTTGATAATTGTTGGTAATGTGTCAAAAAACTTTTTACATTTGGCTTGGTTTAGAAGATTGTGTGACAAATGGCTCTACTAAGCCAAGTGGCAATGAATACCTACCATGTGGCATTTTGCATGAAGATATGTAGCCAAATGGCTAAGCCATAAACAAGTGGCAATTATCTTTCATGCAATCAAATATTTGACAATTTAAGAAGATACCAAGTACCTCTATAAATAGCCTTCTTGTCGTTCGTATGACATCAACAAAAATTGATCTTCTTTGCACTTTCTTAGCTATCATTGCTTTCTTCTTTAGCTAATCGTTTCTATAATTATTATTCCCACAATTGACCAAATCATTACCTCTTGTTATTATTTCTTCCCTCCAATTTATTCTAACTTGCTGAATTTTTTATTTAATTTTGCTGGTTCGGAACAGTGCCTAGCACGACTCAAACCAATTCGTGTGTATGATTACCAATAATATTATTGGAGTATTATTATTGTTATTTTTTCGTATCATTTCCCTACAAAACTAAGCAGTTAAAGCACTTAATTAGGACCAAGGTTATCTGGCAGCTAACTATCAAAAAAAAAAAAAGAAAAAATGAAGTTTGGACAAAGTTTATGCTTTGCTCGTGGCAATATAACTAGCCGTGAACATAAATTGCAAAACACATATTATCAGCTTGTAAGTATTGCAGAACAAGGAATCCACCTATAAAATACAAGGAACACAAAATAGTAAACCCAGTAAAACTTGTCAAACATCCTAATTGACAGTCAAACAAACTATAAGTTGAGAAACATTGTCATACTAATTACAAAAGTCCTACCATTTACAGAGTACCCTTCTACATCTAAAACTTATATCTAAGTTCAAACCCAGGTGCCTCTAAGAAGGGCACGGATAGGAGCAGTTTCACCAAAAGTCTTCACCAAATCCGAACAAGACGGATCATGTTCTGCTTCTTCTTCTCCTTCAGTTTCTGTCTTCAGTTCCAACCCCAACTCCTCTTCTATATCATCAGATGCTGATATCAGCAGAAACTCACATCCTTCATAGTTCAAAAAATCCGGAGGATCCGCTGGATGGTATCTCAGCTGCCCAAATTCACCTTGTAAATGTGCTGGAAATGTCGCCTTCCTCTTGTTCTGAAGTCCCCTAAACTGCGTTTTTCCACTTCCATGTTGTTCCGGGTTCTTGATCTGAATCAGAAATGACCCTTCTCTCTTTATGTTCAGCTCCTCCTGCGGTTCATTTTTCTCATCCTCTGCTGGAAATTCAAGCTTGTAAACCAAATGAGTATGCATTCTCTTCCCCGGATTGTGCCTCAGAATTCGGTATATTCCTTCTCCTACAGCTCTAGCTGGTGCAACTACACGGTGTCCTCTGGTTGATGTGTCATATTCTTCGCCCTTGAGAGCTGCTTTTACATCGTCTATTTTCGTTGTCACCATTTCCACGAAACCCCAATAAGGACGGTGACCTGCTTTCTTGCTAGGATCAGGGAGACTTTTTCTGCCCATTACAATGAATCGGAGCAATGGCTGCTTCTCAATGTTAACTTCTTCTGTTCCATGTCCTCCCTCGCCGCCAGAATGTTTCTTATCGGAGGAAATGTCGCGGTTGGGTTTTTCGGGGTCTGTATGAGAACCGAGCTCTTCACCTTCCTTGCCGGAATGAGGATCTTGTTTGACTTCGACGGAGTGTTCACCGGACTCTGGACGGAGAACGATGTATAGGCGTTGGACATCGTTGGGGTCATGTGCTTCTTCTTTGCCGACTTTTGGTCGGTAAAAGAAGAATATTTCTCCTCTTTCCTGTAGCATTTAATTTTGGATATTAATCATCCATATGTCATGAACTTTGAACTTGTGAAGGGCAAGTTAGAGTAACAATAAAGTTATCTCTGTATAAGTTACGATTCCGAACTATGAAATCAACTAACATCAACTAATATAAGGTTAGACTACAGTTTGTAAGGTACGAGTTCGAGCCATGAAATAAGTCAAGATACTCTGTGTACCTCAGCGTCCTTAGAGTGTGACACTTTTTCGAAACCGGATCTTGCATTTGATACTTCATGCACTGGACTAATTTTTTTTTAATATCATGAACTTGTGGGACATATTTGCAACTACATAATGAAAAATCAAAGTCAAAAGTAGACATGTACCTGAACTTCAACGCTGGGTTCATTTCTGGTCTTTGATTCCTCGCCTTGTCCCATGGCAGAAATTTTGTTCTTGGAAAGGTGCAACGACCGACTGAGTTGAGAAAACTGAAAATTCAAGATAAAGTTTTTAAATATACTGATGGAAAGGGTGAAACGGTTTAAGGCCACGTACGCTCATGCTAATGAAACGTGTTGCTTTTTTAGCGCATATTACTATCCACGTTTCTACTACAAACTACAAAGTGAAATAGCTGTCTTAACGACCTAACTGCAGTTTGTCATTGTCAGCAGCTAAGGCATTCGGAACATTATAAATTTTTACCATTTTAAAGTAGCTTAATCCACTCAACATTTACACAACTATAAATGTTAGTACTAGATTTGTTGTCTAATAATAAAGGTATGATGGTGATATAAAATGGAAGGTTAATTTACGTATAATCACGATAGTATATGTATTGTAACAGTTAAACTATAATATTATATTTTAAACACAATAAAGTTATTGAATTTTATCATTATATAATACTTAAAGATATAAAATTATTTTTGTCTTATTAAATATTAAAATTTTATCTCTTATTATAATCGTAAAGTCACCTTTGATGAATAAGTCTTGTCATTTAATGAGCAAAATATAATGCCTTTACTATTATTGTGAATATAATTAAGCTACTTTAATACTCTATTTATTCCAAAAAGAATTATACTTTTCGGATTTGGATAGTCAAATTTATTAATTTTGTTCATAAATTCGGAGATAGAATTAATGCTGTATGGTGGGCCGGGCTGGGATTGGGATCGGACCGGGCCCGCGGTCTTAACGGGCTAAACGGT